GTGGGATGGGACTATGGTTGTTGCTGCTAACAACCGTGGAACATGTTATGTTTGGCGCTTGTTGCGCGGAAAACAGGTATGATAAGACATTCAAGTCGCATTCGTGAAGTTGCCATGCCATTTAATTTTTCTTTTTTTATCGATTTTCAGACGATGACAGAGTTTGAGCCACTTCATAAGCTACAAGCTCATAACGGTCATATCCTTAAATGTCTACTCTCTCCCGCAAACAAGTAAATGTGTTTCTGACACTCTCGTATAAACCGATGTTCTTTTCCCTTCCAAGCCCTTATATGTAGTTATTTGGCAGATATCTAGCAACTGCATCATCTGATAAAACTGTCAAGATATGGAACGTCGATGGTTTCAAACTAGAAAAAACTTTAAAAGGTATGCTCTCTATGTTTAAAAAAAAAAGGTTTTTCCTTCTCTATTGCTCTCTCTTACACTCTCAACAATCTTATCTAACAGGACATCAAAGATGGGTATGGGACTGCGTCTTCTCAGTGGATGGAGAGTTTCTTGTAACAGGTAACAACTATCACTAATCTCCATCTTAAAAGTCAACAACTTGTCTTATAAATAGACAGAACAGTGTTCTAAACCGGTTTTTTGATTCTGTAATATGCACAGCATCATCGGACATGACGGCTAGATTGTGGTCTATGCCAGCGGGAAAAGAAGTCAAGGTGTACCAAGGTCATCACAAAGCCACCGTGTGTTGTGCCCTCCATGATTAAAAACATGAATTAATAATAATCAGAATAAACAAAAATAAAGAACAAATAATGATTTTCTTTCTTTGTGTGTTTAGGAAACTCTTTGTACATTTGTCATTTGAATCACATTCTTTTTTTTTTTTTTTGGGCAACAAATAGATTCATAAATCTAAACGTAATCAGTACAAGGGAGTAGTAGGAATGTAGAGAGCGGCCTTTGCAAGAGAATCAGCAACAGTGTTGTTCTCTCGACCAACAAAAGAAACAAGGAAAGACATAAAAGTAGAAGATAGAAATTCGATATCCATGAGAACCCCGAAAAGCTCCACCGGATAGGTCTTCGAATTGATAGCTCTAACGAGCTCTTGAGAGTCGGTTCTAAACCAGACGTTGAGAAGTGATTTGCGCTTAGCATCCTGTATAGCACTCCTCATAGCCAGCGCTTCCGCCATGAGGGGGGACGAGACATGGTTCACCACTCGGGATTCCTCCATACGAAAACCTGCATCAGAGTTCTCAAAAAACCAACCCAAGCCAGCTGTTCGTGTTACCTTCCACGCTGCATCAGAGTGGCACAAGAGCATATTGGATGTCGGAGGAGGCCGGTCAGGGATGGAGGATGGTCGTTGCGTAGCAGGGGTCGCCTGTGACTGCGCAAGAAGCCATTCTCTGGCCGCGGGGATTGTTTTTCCCACTAAATCCCGGCCAGCTAAAGCTCTGTTCTCAAAGAGCAGGGAATTGCGGGAGGTCCAGATACCCCATAGAAGCCATGGTGAGAGGTTATTGGTGAGTCCCGTCGGTGGTAGACATTTGAGCGTCGACATGATCGTAAAAGCCTCATGGAGTGTAGTAACAGTAGTGAAGTCCGGAGATTGCGTAAATGGGGCCATTTCCCAAGCACGTTGCGCAAAAGGGCACTGAAAGAAGAGGTGTAGTTCTGTCTCAGAAGCAAGGCAGTGCGGGCATGTCCCATAAGTAACAATCCCGCGCTGTTGGAGGTTGGCTCCTAAAGGTAAAGCCCCGCGGCAAAGTTTCCAAAGAAACAGTTTTATCTTTGGAGAAGTATCTTCTCTCCAAACAAATTTGCGCCAGTTGAAGTCTCGTTGCAGAGGAAGCGTAAGAGGTGATCCATTCTCTTCTTTAAGCGCATAATAGCCTGATTTAACACTGTAAATTCCATCCTTTGTTTTGAGCCAGCAGTGAGAATCCTCCGCGTTGAGGAGGCTTGGTCTTATCAAGTAGATATCTTGGGCCAAGTCGGGGAGGAGAGACTCCACCAAGACGTGGTTCCAATCTCCAGTGCCCCTATTAAATAAATCCGAGACATAAAGGTCTCTATCGGCTTCTTTCGCTGGACCGTAAGGGAGAGTACGAGTAGTGGGTGAAATCCAAGATTCTGTCCATATCTTGGTAGTGTTTCCATTTCCAATAGCTTTCCCCAACTGAAGCTTGAGGACTTGACATCCAGCTATAACTCCTCTCCACCCATGGGAGGCTGATGATGGGCAAGTAGACGACATGAGAGAGGAATTGTGGCAGTATTTTCCCAAAAGAAGTCGCGCAAGGAGGCTCGTCGGGTTGGTAAGTAGACGCCACGAGTTCTTAGCCAGCAAGGCTTTATTGAAATCTTGGATATCTCTGAAACCAAGCCCCCCTTGGTCCTTATGCTGTGTCAAAGCATCCCATGATATCCAACAAATTTTCCTAGTAGCCGGATCTTGATCCCACCAAAATCGAGTGAGCGCGGATTGGATTTGGGAGCAGAGTCCAACCGGGAGGGGGAAACAAGACATAGAATATGTCGGTATGGCAGAAAGTACGGACTTCAACATAGTAAGCTTGCCAGCAGTGGACAGTCGGCGGGTAGACCATGAAGCTGCTCGGATTTTGATCTTGTCGACAATTGACGAGAAGACATCTCGTTTCTTCCTAGAAAAAATCTCTGGCAGCCCAAGATACTTGCCTACTCCACCTTCTTTCTCGATACCAAGGGCGAGTTTGACCCGAGATCGGGTCTCCTGTGGTGTTTTCGCAGAGAAGAAGATAGAGGATTTAGCTGCATTAATAAGCTGGCCCGAAGCCAATTCATACTCTTTGAGAGTTGAGGCGAGGTAGGAGCAACTATCGGGAGTAGTTTTAGTGAAGAACATTGTATCATCTGCAAAGAGAAGGTGATTAATCCTGGGGCAGTGGTGTCCAATCTTAACCCCAGTGAGTTCTCCATTCCGCTGTCCAGCCCTACAAAGACCCGACAAGACTTCTCCGCATAAGATGAAAATGTAGGGGGATAAAGGATCTCCTTGGCGGATACCTCTCTGAGGAACTACATGTCCCAGAGCTGCGTCATTAACAAGGAAGGAGTAGGAGACCGTTGTGATACACTCCATTACCCAATTGGTCCAGACGTCATCAAAACCCAGCTTCTCAAAAACCAGTCGGATGAAGTTCCACTCAAGTCTGTCGTAGGCTTTGCTCATATCCGTTTTCACCGCCATGTAACAGTGTTTCTTAGCCTCTGAGGTCTTTAAGTAGTGGAGGATCTCGTGTGTAATGAGGACATTGTCGGCTATTGCGCGTCCAGGGAGGAAAGCCGACTGATTTTCCGAAATTATGTCGCTGAGGATCGGTCTGAGGCGTAGCGACAGCAACTTCGAAATAATCTTATAGTACACATTGCAGAGTGCAATGGGTCTAAAATCCGAGACCTTAAGCGCATTTTGAATCTTTGGGATGAGCCGAACGTGAGTCGCATTGATCGAATCCGGCATCCTTCCTGCAATAAAAAACTGCTGGATTTCCTCCACTATAGCAGTCCTCACCGCTTCCCAGTTAGCTTGGAAGAAGGAGGCGGAGAAACCATCCGGTCCCGGTGCTTTATCGGGATGGATAGCAAACAGGGCTTTTTTTATCTCTTTTTCCGTCGGAATTGTAATGAGGGAGGCATTTGTTTCAGCCGATACACTTGGTGAGAGAGCTCTGGTTACCACTGGTTCACTGTCAGTGCTGACCGATGTGAAGATATCGGAGAAATACCTAGAGATCTCTGCTGCAATCTGAGTCTCCTCATAAACCGGTAAGCCTTGTGGGTTCTCCAGGACAGTGAGTTTGTTTCGCGCCTTGCGTCCCTTTGAAACAGCGTGAAAGAAGGCAGTATTTTTATCTCCTAGAGTGAGCCAAAGAAGACGGCTCCTTTGTTTCCAAAAGGCCTCTTCCGCTCTATAAGCTGCGAGTAGGGCTTTGTTGATTTCTGCAATGGTGTCATCAAGGGCCGGATTAGTCATAGCCTCATCAAGTTGTATTCTCAGATAATCAATCATCTTGCGGCTGTTTGTGTGATGTTCCCGGCTCCATTTAACAATAGCCTTGCGGCATTCTGCTATACGATAGGAGACGGTTGAGCGCGGGAGGGAGTTCCACGTAGAATCGATAAGGGTGCAGACTTCCTCCACCTCCTTCAGCCTTCTATCATATCGGAAAATTTTTCCCCGTTTTTTCCTTGACGCATCGAAGGTTGAGCAAACAGGCCGGTGATCGGATCCTTCAAACTTCAGATAGTGACAGCGGCTTTGTGGAAAGGCCTCATACCAGGAGCTATTAGCGATGGTCCTGTCTAGACGGCAGTAGACAAGGTGGCGTCCTCTCTTTCCCCTCCAAGAAAGGAAGTTGCCGGTGTGACGAAGGTCAAAAAGATCATTGCGCGCCATGAACTCTCGAAACACTGTGAAAGATCTCTCTGGCCGTTCCGAGCCTCCTGACTTTTCAGAGTTATCAAGAATTTCATTAAAGTCCCCGGTTAAAAGCCAAGGGCCTGATCTGTCAAGAGCCAGAGTAGAGATCGCTTCCCACACATTTTGCCGACGAGAAACCTCTGGTTCACCATAGACGAATGTGGTGTGAAAATTGACACCCTTGAAGCAAATCGCAGCATCTATAAAATTGTGAGAGTGTGCAAGGATAGTCATGGAGACCTCTTGTGACCATAGAAGTGCTAAACCTCCACCTCCATGACCATGTGGAGAAACTAAGAAGTGATTATCCAAAGGAATAGAAACAAGCTCATTCAATACAAAAGGGTCGGGGTTCTTAGTTTCCATGAGAAACAAAATATGAGGACATATGGATTTACACATATCCTTAATACGCTGGACTGTTTCGGAGTTTCCCAAACCGCAACAGTTCCAGCTTACAATCGCTAAGGAAGATCCCGACCTAGGTGGTGAAAATCCACCCGGGGGGGAGTGCGTGATGCTGCTTGTGTTGCTCTTCTTGGCTCTCCCTGTTCTAGATGTTGCTCTTGTCCTTGCGTAGGAAGTTGTGGTGTGGTTCTGCCAGATTCATGAGGGGACTCAGGGCGACCTCTCCGTTTCCTTCGTGATCGTGAAGGTGTCGCATTTTGTCCCTCCGTGTTGGTTTCAGTACGAGTAGCTGGGGACCGTTGAGCACGGGACAAATTGTATTGTCGGAGACTGGGGCCTAAGAGAACCCTCGATGCATGGATGCGTTTGGGTTTTGGGGGGCGGGTTGATTTTGAAGTCCCCGACGCGCCTGGGAGTACATTGGATGATCTCACAGCGACTTCTCGAGAGAAGGTTAATTCCTGTCCCGTTGATTGTTCAAAACCAGGTTCTGGTCTGAAACAGATAATCTGTTGCGCTGGCGATGATAAGCATGTTGCCATAGCTGCTGCACTTTCATTTGCGGCCATCTTTGCTGCAGTCGTCTCCATTAACCCCTGTGCTTCCGTATCAAAGACTCGTTGTATACGAGCTTCTCTCTCTTTGGGGTCCGGGTGGTTAGTATATCGGTAGGTAGCATCTCGTAGTTCTTCCATAATTTCTTCTGTGTTTCTTGGTTGGGTCGGAGAGGTGAAATCAGCTAAATTCAGATTCCTCTCTAAAGGTGGGCGGGGTGGCGCCGGAGGTAGTACTGGATTCCACTGCGGGGTTGAGGAGTGTCCTTCCGCTTGATGGGGGCTAGCTCTCAGAGGTGCAGCAGAATGGGAGCTTTGTGATTTATGTGGCTGAGCTGCCTGGTGAGGAGGCGAGAGTCGACTTGGTTCAGCTACTCTCCTTCGAAGAGGAGGCCTGTGTCTCGTGTATGGTGGGGAGCCTCGTGCCGGATACACGTTATCATTCCTTTCATAGCGGTATCTGGAAGGACGTTTGTCCGAGAGTTGAGCATTATTCTGTACCTCCTTCCCGCGAGAGTAAGGGCGTCTGTCTTGGGAACCTCCTCTGTTCCTAAAAACTCTTGATTGTTCAGGATCAGGAGGAGGGCGTCTAATACTCTGACTAGTAGCCGTGTTATGATCGTCCTCCAACTCCGGGTCGCGGTAGTTGCTTCTCGGGGTAATCTTGTTCTTCAATGGGCGTTTCCAAGTGAGCTTCTGTGAGATTCTTTCTCCGAAGGGGTTGCCGTGGCGGTCACGTCTTTGAGAGAAATTCAAAGATTCCAAATGCTCTTTGGGAGGAGGTACCTCATTTGGGGTGGGGGAGCGAGCCTGAGGGCAGTTGTTATGTGGGAGAGCCAGGGGGCGATTTGCAGAAGGGACTTCCTGTGTCGGGGGGTGATTATCTGTGGTGAGATCCTTTTGGGGGTTATCCCCTGTTTTTGAGCACCTCCAGGGGCAGTCTAAGCTGAGGTGTGAAAGCCTGTTGCAAAGAAGGCAATGATTTTTGAGACCTTCATATTCCAGTGTTAAGAAGCTCTCTTCCCCTGATGCAAACTCAATGATTGATTCTTTAACTAGCGGGTTGAGTCCATCTACAAACACCCTCATCCTTGCCGTAGTGGTTGAAATCTCATAGGTGTCCAAATGACCCAGTTCGTGTCCAATCTCATAGATCATCTTCTGGTGCCAAAAGTGTAGTGGTAGACCCTGTAGCTTAATCCAAAACGGGATTTGTGAGGGGAAAGACGGTGAGATAATCGGTTCCCACCGTTGAAGTATTACCATCCAATTGTTGCAGTGGTAGGGGCAATTATCCAAGACTTTCTTGAGGTCTCTTTCAGACGAGAGGCGGAATTGGAAGCAGGAGTTACCTAGATCGGAGCCTGAACTTGGACCTTCAAGGTTCCATTTCCTAGGGAGGAAGGAGATAACGTCACTCATACTCTGTTCTTGGGGATTTGTTAGCCGGCCAATGATGGTGAGTTGATTTGCTTGGATGAGCGCAGACGTGTCAAGTTCCGGTGCTCGGATTCTCCTACGACCTTCAGTCATTATGGAGGAAGCATGGCCTTTACCTTTTTCCGCAGCTGTAAACGCGCGAGACATGGTGGAGAAACTTTGGGGAGAAAGCTGTCTGTCCTTAACGTTGGGTATAGCTTGTATAGCTTCGGGTGTTCAAACGTGAAGATGGAGTCGTGTCGAGTACCGGAGTCGTGTGATCTAGAGGAGTTCCCTGTCGACTCTAGTCTTCGCCAAGCTTCAGAAGAGGAAAGGGGCCAAGCTGACAGCAACGTTGAGGGAGTTGGAAGAGTAAGGGTGTGGGAGGCATGGAGGAGAGGCCGTCATTCCGGCAAGGCCGGGGATTGCCGGTAAAGCCAACTCTAGAAGGTGGTTTTAGATTTGAAAAAGTTTCCCAAAGTGGAGTAAAACCAGGCAG